TGTGTGTGTGTGTGTGTGTGTGTGTGTGTGTGTGTGTGTGTGTGTGTTGAGATAAGGTCTCTCACTGACCCGGCACCTGCTCAGGGAGCTATTCAGAATAGCCAGTGAGTCCTAGGAATCTTTGTTTTCCCCTCCCTAGAACTAGTATGTTCAAAATACGTACCACCAGGTCTGTATTTATGGCTCTGGGGATCCAGATCATGTCTTCATGCTTACATGGCAAACATTCACCAACTGAGACATACCCCCAGTCCCTGGGACATTTTAGTAATGCTACAGTCTCCCTGATGGCTTAACAAAGAGTGGGGTTTCCTTTAGCCATGAAGGAAATGTTTTGGAAATACGGTGATGGTGGCACAACATGGTAATTAAACTACAGGCATTTCAGACAGTTTGTTTTATTTATGGCCTCCCAAAACCCTTAAAAAATAGCCATCTTTTACTAAGAATTAACTGTTCCGGGAACAAGCTGGTGGTGTGGTATAATTTCATTTAATTCTTGCACTAGTTCCAGGAAGTAGGTAATTCTACAATCCTGATACACAGTTAAGGAAACCGAGGCTTAGTGTGGTCGTAGCGTTTACCTCGAACTTGGGGCTGTGAGGTCAATTCCATGTACTTTTTCTTTCTTACCATAATCTTTGGCCCCCTCTCTTGCTCACAAAGGCTCTCCCGTCTCCATCCCTACAGTTTATTTTTATCCCATGATATTTTCTTACATCTACGTTATCAGAAATAATATGCACATATTTATGCTCAGATTATTTTCTAGACATGTATGACAATATAAAACACACTAGAAAACATCAGTTCATAACACTCTCTTGAGTGTCCACATAACACTATTATTAGAATATTATAACAACAACAACAACAAAAAAGTTGATGTAATCGGTGTAGATCATTCTGGCTCATGTCCTAATTTATATTTTGTTGGCAGTTGGGGGAAGGGAGCGTTTGTTCCCTTATGTGATTTACCAGTTTGTAGTTCTTTTTTTGTACAAAAGGCTGCTGCTTTGTGTGCCAGACTGAGACAGAACACTTGCAGATCTGCCAGAGGAATAGCTGTTGTCCAGGTGGACCCACCCAGCACGCCCCAGCCAGCCTGCCCAGAACCCAGCTTTCCCCGGAGTTTTACAGCTCGCCTTTGCTTTTCTAGCATGGAGCAGCCAAGAAATAACAGGCAGTCCCTTCCCCAGACACACTGACTAGACTTGTCCGGGGTTCAGAAGATGTGTAATCTGTCTGGTGATTACCGGAGCAGAAGAGATGTGTCTTAAGGTCATGGGACCACATGGGGTGGTGAGCTCGGCCTGAACTAAGCTCAGAACTAGAGGCCACACCCCACTCAAAATATTTGGCTGGAAGAGATTCTACTCCAGTGTCGCAGCTCTCATTCACTTTCTGAGCCCCGAGAAAGCCACCTCTGCCTAACGGTAGGTTTCTGTGGTCTATGAAGATATGCTGCCATCAGGTGGCCAAAGGACAGAAGACATCTCTGGGAGCCTGATGACAATTTAAACCTTTACCGCCTGGGAGGGGGCCACCAGGCTAAGTCTAACAGTAGCAGGGACCCACTGAAAATCCAGAAAAACAGCAGAGGGCCTACCCGGATGAGTCCTCAGCCTCACCTCAACACCAGCTCGGCACTGGAACATGAAAACCTGAGCAAGCCCAGGGCGTGAAGTGAAGAGGGAGAATTTTGTTTGGTCTAGGAAGCTAAGAGCACTGATTGACTTGGTGTCAATAATGATTGATGTGGAAAGAAATTCATAAGCAAGCTGGAATTATGTGACTCACCTCAGTTCAGTTACTGTTATAAGAATCATTTCTCAGTAGATGTGTTAGGAATGGCAGGGAGCTTAGTGTGGGACAGTAGTCAGAAATCTTTGGCAGGGTGGGAGGAAAAGTGAATGGGCTTGGGCATGGCTGTTTTCAAAACTTTGGTGATGTAATGAGGACAGTAGTAATGGTGGATGTGATGATGGTGATAGTGATGACTAAGATAGTGGTACTGATGGTGACAGGGAAATGTTGATGATAACGGAGATGATGGTGATGGTGATGGAGATACAGACAGGGCAGTAGGGCTGTGGTGATACTAGGAGTGGTGCTGGTAATAATGATAATGTTGATGAAGCAGGGATGCTGGCGGTGGTGGTATAGTGGTTGTAATGATTGCCATGATGGTAGTGATAGTGATGATCTTGGTGGTAAGGTAGACACGTTGCTGATGATGGTGGCAGTAATGATTGTAATGGCAATACTGATGGGGAGGTGGGAGAGCGATGGCCATGATGGTGATGCCAAGTGACGGTAAGGACGCTGACGGCAATGGAGAGTATGGTGCTGGTGGTGATGACGACGGTGATGGTCCATACATAAATTGTGCCATAATATTAATATCCACAATGACCTTATAACTTAGTGCAGATGGGGACAGTGATGCTTAAAGGAAGTTAACTAACTTCCCAGTGTCACAAGGAAGATGGTTGATCTGGAACTGATTTCCAGAAACTTGGGCATTTGGATCCATCATTAACCAAAGCACTGTCCCTATTTCTAAGAGCAAAGCCCTCATGCGAAAGGAGGGCTTGGGGGAGGGTGTAGATCTTCCATCCTCAATTAATGTCCCCCCAGAAATGCCCTCAGAGATATGTCCAGGGTCCTGTCTCCGAGGTGAGTCTAGTTTAGTTGACAATGAAGATAAATCACAAAGTTGATTTTTTTTTTTCTGGCTCATTGGAAGCCTTTCACACTACATTACACAGGCCTGCTGAGGGGTTGACTCTTTGTTCCTTCTGAGCATGTGTGGGTCTTGCCCCCAGCTCTAGAGCAGACCATGAAGTATGGGTCTAAGACAGGCACAACTGGCTCAGAAGTGGCTCATGACCAGAGCCTGAGCTTTCCAGGCTAGGCTTTCCATCGTTCCCACTGTGGGGAAAGCAGAATCCTTTATACCCGTGGACAGAGCCAAAACTAACATCTGCAGCCACAAAGACAGTGATCCCCTGTGTGACCAGAATGACACCCAGATGGTGCCTGGACAGAGCCCTAGGCCTGGACCTACACAAGAACCAAATGACTTTCTAGATCACTGGAAATTTCCCTCATTTTGCTTCGTTCAGTCTGAGCTGGGTTTTCTGTTACTTGCCAAGAGGAGTTGCATTGAATACAACTCTGCCCCATCTTCAAGAATGGCATCTATCATGGACAGGACACGTGTGACACTGCGCTCATTTTCTCACCGTTTCCCCCACCACAGCCCCCAGTATGCTCTAGCCTGGGAAATTCTCAGCGGGCCTTCCCTAATCATCCACAGCTGGTGTGCAGGAGCCTGGGCTCCTCTCCAGGGCTCTGTTGCTAGCTAGCAACAGGCATGTTGTTCCTGCCGCCTCACCACATGGCTCTGAGCCTCCAGCTCTCCATCTGCACAAAGGAACAATATCTCACTCCTAGGAGTTTGCAGCAAGCAGGGTTTTTTGGGTTTTTTTTTTCCTTTTCTCAACCGCAACTAAAGCCTAATAACAACCTAGCACTTCCACAGGGGACACATCAGTTACCAATGTTCCCCTTCCAGGACCTCAATGCTGCAGGATCGGAAGTGTGGAAAGGGGAGACAGGAAATCAGTGAAATAGGAGAAGCCAAGATCAGAATGATCCAGGCTAGTCATTCTGGTTGTGTGCTTGTTTGTTTCTAAGCCACAAAAAAAAAAAAAAAAAAAAAAAAAAAAAATCTTTCTTTGAAAAAAAAAGACTTCTCCAGGGGACAGGGCCAGCACACTCGCCGGCACTCCTGAGGGGGAGAACATGCTTCCGAGGTGTTCTTACTGTCCTCACAGCTGAGGGGCCCTGCTTGCTGGATTTACTTATTGTTAGACATATGCAAAGACAGAAGGGGGAGTCCCCAGAGTAAGTACAGATTGTGATAGTGGTGCCTGCATGGAGGTTTCTTCCCACCCCCACCCCACCCGCTGTACCAGGATATGTGGACTTCTCTCCCCTTCTGGCTGTCAGCTTGTCTCCTCCCTAATGGCATCTCACACTTATTAAGTAGGTGAATATTTGGGAAGACAAGTAGTTTAGCTACAATTTTTGTTGTTGTTGTGTCACATCATATCTGAGAATTCAAAACATTAAAGTCACATGAAAAGTACAGGCTAGTGTCGGTGGGCTGTGCCGAAGCCCTCTCCCCTGGGGAAAAGGCTTTCACATTGTGGAGAGGCAGGCAACTGCCCAGGCAAATCCAGAAAGGGGCTGGACCACATTCACATGCAGGACTTTATACACCTCGCTCCAAATTGTCCCTTTTGTCATATAGCCTGTCATTTAGCCTGTCGTCATCTTACCTTTCGTGTCTCCCCAGCCAGTGATGTAGCAGAGCGTGCGGTCAGCAACCACATAATTAGGAGATGGCAGGCAGGCTGGAATGACTTTATCAGTGATGGTGGCGGGGCTGAAAGGGAGGCATCAACTGTTATGTTAGCTAATCTCCACCCTTCACCTGCAGACCACCCATAGCCTAGTGGTCCTGGCTCACTGTCCCAGCATTCTCTGGGCTGGTTTTTCTTTACTTCATGGACATAGAAGGATATAGGAAACTCTTCACCCTCAAAGTGCCCTACAGTTTCCTATGAGCTAAGTAATCGATTGTATGGGAGGGGATGTATGTTTATGTACTGGCTTCCTCAATTGCTCATCACCTCAGTTTTTGAGGCAGGGTCCTTCCACTGAACCTGAACTTCACTGAGTCTGTGAGACTGTCTGGTCAGTGAGCTCTGGGGGTCATCCTGTCTCTGCCTCCCCAGTGCTGTGGTTACAAGTGCTCAGCTTCATGCCAAGCTTTTGACACGATGCTGGGGATTTGAACTCGGGTCCCCGTGCTTGTATGGCAGGCACTTTACTGACTGAGCCCTCTCCTCAGCCCTGCCCTATGGTTTGTGATTTCCTATTCAATGTAAGAGGGTACCATTCTGTGAGTGGACCATCTAGGTGTCGCTCTGCTACACTAAGGCCAAATGGTGTTTGGCCAGGATAACTTGTTCTATCTTTCTGGGTCCCATGTCTTCTCATCAGTTAAATGCTAAGGGCCCCGACAAGCCATGTACATACATCAAGTGAGAAGTAAGTTCTCAGCAGAAGTGAAACAAACTGTTTTCAAAGAACCTTCACCTGCCTAGAGTTTGATGGATTCACACTCATTCTAACTTTGGTCTTTCAGACCCAAAGTCTCAGTAAGGTCAAGAGGAAAAAGGACTGGAAATGAGAAATACCCTGTTTTCATTGAGAATCCACTGTCTCTTCTCTAGCTTTAGGGCAGATGCATTTTCCCCAGAACGACCAAAACAGACCCAGTCTTTTGCAGGAATGTCATTCACTTGTTACGGAACACCAAAGACCTTAGGCCCTCAGGCTGTGGGGTGTGGAGATCATACAATGAATCCCAAAATGTGTTAGGCTGTCAGAAAACTGGATTCACCCTATTTTCTGAAGGACTTGTTCAGCTGTCAGATCACCCTGAGAGTGAGTCTGAGAGTACCACAAGGTTCTTGTGTTTGCTTCTTGGCTGAGATGCAAGGGAAGGTTCTGGAGAACATGAGGGAGATCTGGTTGATTTACAGAGCAACTTCCCTTCTTTCCTTCTAGCACATCAAAATGCCCCCAAGACATCACCTCTGAGTTTACAGCCCAGAAACGTTGCCCGTGTTTGAGACCAAACTTCCCTCCAGCAGCCTGCACTGGCTGGACCAGCCGTTGTCACTGCCAGAAATCATCTCCTGGTCATCTGGAACTCATCAGGCACAGCTAATGTGCTCCGAGTGCCTGTTGCCTGTCCCAAACGTGCACTTCTTAAAATAGCTGACCATTTGTGAGCTGTGTCCACGGGAACGGACCTGTTTCCAAACACTTCTAACTCTATGGAACAAGCCTAATTACCCAGTGTCAGGCTTTAAAAAAAAAAAAAGACACACATCAGCAGGGAAGATAGGCCCAAAGAAAAGAACAGTGAGAGAACTTAGACTCATGAACTGTTTCTTGTTTCATTCTGCTCTTTCCTGTGTTGGTTTGGTTTGTTGTTGTTGTTGTTTTTCTGTTGTTGTTTTTTTTATATGTGTGTGCATGGGATGCAACAGAGGCCAGAAAAGGGCGTTAGATCCCTTGGAACCAAAATTACTGGTGGTTGTGATCCACTTGATATAGATTCTAGGAACCAAACATGTCCCCTGAAAAAGCAGCTATTGCTCTTAACTGCTGAGCCACCCTCACCCCCATTTTTGTGGGGCTTTATTCCTGTTGTGGTTTTGGTTTTGAGTTTCGGTTTCTTGAGATAAGGTCTTTCTGTATAGCCCTGGCTTTCTGTATAGCCCTCACTATGTAGATCAGGCTGGCCTCAAACTCACAGAGATCCACCTTCCTCTGCCTCCCAAGAGCTGGGAACAAAAGTGTGTGCCACCATGCGGGCACATGTTTGTAGTTTTAAAAAGTGCTTTGAGATACATCATTTTATTTGATTCTCTCTCATCATATTACATTAAGAGGAGCTTTGAAAGCCTGTAGTACCTGACTGAGGGGCTTTACCAGCCTGGAATAACTGATGGGGGATATATTAGCTTGTGAGCAAGAGGTGAGGATGACACAAGAGTGAATCAGCACCTTATATTTTAACTCTTCCTTCAAAGTTAGTCCCGATTCCTTTTCCAGGAATGTATCTGGGGTGTGTGGAAATGGGCTGAATCTTGGCTTTCTGATGAAATATACTCCCCCCCCTTTTTTTTTAATCCTCATGCTTTTGCATCTTAGATATCACTTCCCCAACCCCACACATGATTATGGCTCATAAAACCCTGCTATGAAGTCTTCACTGAGCTTGAGATACAAACCCACGTGCACCCATACCGGCTTAGCTTCAGCAGGGCAATGTCAGCTCGGCCGGGCTCCGTGAACAGCTTGGCTACCTCTATTTGCTGAACATTCCTCCCAATTTCATTTTCTTCATGTGCACCCAGAACAACCTTGTAGAATTCAGGTCTCGAAGATCTAGAAAACATGGTGACATCAGAAGCAAAGCATAGTCCAGACCCTTCCCTGGTGCCTTCCTGTGCCATACACGAGGCCTCCCAACGCATATAGCCACCAGAATCTGTGCCTCCTGGGTGGCAAGAAACAAAATCCCAGGTTTGTCTGACCCTGGAATATTCTTGAGCTTGAGAGGACCAATGCCTGTCATTGAGTAGATCTGTTTCCCCAGACTCAGGTCATACTCTGGACCTTCGGCAGATTTTCTCTAAAACTAGCTCCCTCTCATCTAACTGTCCCAGTGGCTCTGCTATGGAGTTCTGCACACATACTCCTGAGTCCTTTATGTCACTACATGGAAGGTAAGCAGGCAGAGTAGAAGGGGAGGAGGGGAGGAGAGGAGGGTCAGTCCTTAGAAGGAGACCCAGTTACCCATGGAACATACTTCTCCAAGCAGTGTGCAGCTGTCAGTACCCACTCTGGGGATATTAAGGTACCTCCGCAGAAGTGCTCGCCTCTAAACCTGAGAGAGGGAGGAAGCAAGAACTTTCATTAAGGCCATATGTTTAGTTCCACTGAGTTGCACAGAAAATCAGAAAGATGCACTCATTCACTTTATTCTTTCTATTCCCAGCAGAAATGGCCGACAGCCCATGTTCTAGATGGAAGGGACACAGGAGCATCTCTCTACACCACTCTTAAGCTATCTGGGAGAGCCTTGGATGTCACCTGTTCCCAGGGAGCAGAGGTGGTGGCTCCAGCATGAAGTCGTCCTGTACCTGCATTTTGACATGTTAGCCCTGGACCCCATCGTAAACCACCAGTCCAAACCTGCCCTTGAGGCTGCCTTTGTTTCTTATTGGCTAGGGCTTTGCAAATGGTCTTCATGAATTATCCTTTGAGCAGCCAAAAGTGATGCCAACAGCAGTAATTCAGGCGAATAAGGTTACCAACTCCCAACCAGGCTGAGATGGCAAGAATGCAAATAGCACAGTATGTAGGATCAGGTTAGCTAAAGGCAGGAAATAAACCACCATTCAATTCCAGAAAGAAAAAAATATATATGTGGCAAGAACAGATCATACAGCAAGTAGTTATTAAATGTGAAGGTGAAGAAAAACCAATTCTGTGCCTGGAGAGATGGCTCAGAAGTTTAAAACATTGGCTGCTCTTCCAGAGGATCCAAGTTTGGTTCCCAACACCTACATGGTGGCTCACAGCCGTCAGTAGATCCAGTTCCAAGGGATTTGCTGCCCTCTTCTGGTCTCCAAGCATACAGGGCACATACATGGCGCACATTTGTACATGCAGACAAGCACTTATATAAATAAAACAAAAATAAATCTCTTTTTAAAAAACCTCAGTAACAGAGATAAGAGTTCAGCCAACCATGCCCACATCAGTCAGTGGCATTGTGCAACTGACAGAGGAGGCTGCAAATGGCAAATGGAGCTTGCACAATGGTATGGAAGTGAGGCAGGCAAGGCAAGCAGCCTATGAGGAGCCTGCTCCATATGTGCACTTTAAAAGCCACACCCAAGCAAAGTGGATTAGAGATTACAGATGTGCTCCACACACGTGGCCCTGCTTCCACGGGCTCCGATGCCTCTCTCTTGGAGGAGGGCTGTCACAGGCTGGCTGGTTGGCATATCTGTGAATGCACAAGCAGCCTCCGTGGTTAAATTCATGGGGGGGGTCACAAAAGGGCACACAGTATCATCAGACACCTGCATCTTCAATAGGCAAACTCCTTTGTGAGCCCCAACCTTCACAGCATCCCATTTTTTAACATATTCCTTTCATTTTACAGCAGCCAACGAATGTATGAACACCTAGAGCACCTTCCATGTTTTCTGGGGATGTCATCATTTTACATAGTTTGTTGTATTTACAGAACTTAATGACAGACTTGTTTTTTTTTTTTTTTTTTCTTAAATGCCATTTTTGGTCATTTTCAAAGTAGAGAACCTAAGATGTCTTTTACACTGTTTGTAGCTGTATTTATTCCTTGTTAAGAAAAGACAAAGGTAGGCAGTGGGTCCTAGCAGTGTAAGCTTAGCATAAAGACTTTATGAGGCTGACACAGTCTCTGCAAATCTGTACCTTGTCCTGAGACTGATCTGCCAGGGCCAGGAGTGCGGATTGGCCACGCAGCCACCCACTATCCTCCCAGGGCATTTCTTCGGTTCCACCTGAGGCTTCCCACAGTCAAATGACGATGCTGTAGAATGACACAGGAGAAGGAGGTCACAAGGAGGCCAGTTCTGTTATACAGTCCTGATAAATTCATGGCCCGTGGCCAGGAGCTGAATTTGTGACATTCCTTGGGGTCACAGGCAACCTTTGGACCAGTTCCTCTGAGTTTCAGAAGTGGTAGCAGACTGCACAGAACCCTGTCCTCTGAAAGAGCTATAAACTCTAATCACTTAATTAAATTGGTGTAGGGTAGAATTAAAATAAGAGCTTTCCTTGGTGGACTTTGATGGCCAAACAGAGTTATCTGTAACTGTGGCTCAGCCTCCACGTAATACATTGGGAACACGAAGATTTGTTCGTCATCACCATCTATGTGGCACGCCCAGCCTGTATCCTGAAGCCTGCAAGAATCTCAGAACAGCTATAAATGTGACTCTACACATCCGTAGATGCCAGCATCATGTTGCAAAGTCAGAATTTCTAGGCTGTGGAAGGAAGGTTTCCTGAAGGCCATAGCTCTTATCCCCATTGGAAGATAGTATGGTATTTTTTTTCTTGTGAATCTGTGTGGGTTGTGTGTCTGTCTGTGTATGTCTGTGTGTGTGTGTAGGCAGACAGCAAGTGCAACTATTCTCAGCCCAATTTTACCTTCTCTCCGCTGGTTTGAGCTCAGACCCTTCCCTCCCTGCCCTTCCCTGTCCTCCCTTACCCTGCACGCTGCCCCAAACAGCCTGCTATCATCAACCACTAACCATCAATCTACTTGCTGCCACCTGCTTGTCCTCTGTTTACCTCCTGTGTCCATTCCCTCTCATTAGCCAGCCTTCCACTTGACTAGAGACAGGGTGTTCTCCTGCCTTTGCTAATTCCCACTACAGGGATGCAGAGGATGTTAAAAAATGCTTCTGTGTGGCCCACAGCCCCAAAGTCTTCAGAAAGGTAACTGGAAGCATTGTTCATATCATTCCTTCCATCTTAATCAGCCAGAGTCTGAAGTAGATGGAATTTCCCACTTTCTTTTTGACCTGTTCTGAGAATCCCTGTAGGGAGGGCTTTTCAAATAGAGCTGTGTGTTGTGATGGGACCATCCTCTCCAAAGCTCAGCTCAGTGACTAGCATTGTGCCTCTCACTTCCATGTGTGTATGTTGCACTTCCTACGTGTGCACGAGCTGGTTAGTGTCTGTCATCTTGACACAAACTACAGTCACGTGGGAAGAGGGAACCTCAGCTGAGGAATTGCCTCTATCAGATAAGCGTGTGGGCAGGGCTGTAGGGCATTTCTTTGATTAGTGATTGAGGTAGTGAGCTCAGCCCACTGTGGGTGGTGCCATCCCCTGGGAAGGTGGTCCTGAGTGGTAGAAGAAGGCAAGCTGAGGCAGTCCACAGGAGCAAGCCAGTAACTACACTCCTCCGTGGTCTCTGCTTTAGTTCCTGCCCAGTTGGACTGTGATACAAAGGTAAGCCAAACAAACCATTTTCTTCTCCTAGTTGCTTTGGGTCATAACGTATGATCAAGACAACAGAGAAACCAACTAGAACAGACGAATAGGCTATCTCTGTGACAGACCTGCCCATGTTGTTTTAGAGAGGGTTTTCGGAAGGATTTTGGAGATCTGTGCTGGAAAAGGCATTGCTCAGAGCTTTAGGGTCTATCCTGTGGGAGCTTGGAAGTTAAAAATGGTGAGAAAAATGAAGGCCTGGCTTGTGGAATTTCAGACAAGAGTTTGAGAGTCTCTCAAAGACAGTACTGATCATATTTGTGTGATGTTTTGAATTAGGAATCTGTGAAGTGAAACCTTTGCTTTGCTGAGATAATCGTTGCTGGTTGGCTGGGGCTGAAAAATTAGCTGTGATTAACAGAAGCACGGCATTACTGAGGTAGAATCTTCTGGAGACTCTTCTCCTTGGGGTCAGCACTCAGGAGCCGAGGTGGGAGTGGGGAGAAGCTGGAAGGGGAACTTGGTGAATTGTGTTTAAGCATCTCCATGTGGTACTGGTTTTGAAGGCATAGAGGAATTATGGAGAGCAGCTGAAGGTCGGCACCACATGATGTGGCTGTTGGCTACCAAAGCTTGACTCGATGGTTTCTGGAGCTGCTCCATTGAGGTGAAGGAATCAGGGCCCTTTGAAGCCAGGACACAGAGCCCCAAGCATGAATGCCAATGCCAGGCACCACTCAGAGGCAGCCTGTGCAGGGTAGGTAAAGACAGTGGGGGTAAGGGTGAGGCAAGAGATAGAAATTGAGTGTGGAGATTTAAAGGGAGACACAGAGAGCCTAGGAACTTTCATATAAAGAAGCCACCAGACATTTTCATATACAAAAAGCATATACAAAAACCCCCACTCAAGAAAAAGGTCACTGTCCATTTCCTTAACCCTTGCAGCCATGTTATTTTACAGTAAAGCTGGCAGGTAGAACCCAGCCTATCCCCTTTCCCTCTCCTCCCACCCCCTGCTCTGCCCAGAGCCACTACATGCTCCTAACCACTGCCCCCCAAATACTGGGGACACAGCTCCTGAGAGCTTTGCAAGTTAAGCCCCTCCCTCAGGCTAGCTCACTGTGAGAAAGAGGAGTGTACAATGACAAGTTCTGACTGCAAAGTTGGTGAGCACAGAGCAGACACAGCCATCGATTGCCACCCCAATATCAAGAACTAATACCAGGCTGGAGGGATGGCTCAGAAGTTAAGAGCATTGGCTGCTCTTTCAGAGGTCCTAAGTTCAATTCCCAGCAACCACATCATGGCTCACAACCATCTATAATGATATCTGGTGCCCTTTTTTGGTGTGCAGGCAGAACAAATGTCAACTCTCCTTTTCCAGAGCCAAACCCCTTCCTTTCAAGAAAGTCCCTAAGGAAGGACCCCAACATGCTGTCTCTAAGTTAGGTGGGTAGTGAATTGGAAATCCAGGGAGAAAATGAGACTAACAGAAATATCTGCATTATTTTTCATAAAAATTAGGAAGATAGTTTGCGGGTTTTTGGTGAGTGAGTGAGTGTGTGTGTGTGTGTGTGTGTGTGTGTGTGTGTGTGTGTTCTCTCTTCTCTGCTATTGAAGAGGAAAATCTCTGTGGTGTTTTAAATGAGAAAATGTTCCCCAAGGGCTCATGGATGTGAACTTGGTCGTTGGATACTCATGGAAGATTTGAGATGTGGAGGTTTGCTGAAGGAAGTACGTCAGTAGGGAAAGGCTTTGAGAGTTTATACCCTCAGCTCACTCCCAGGTCACACTCTGTTTCCTTGGGTGCGTTTGGGGTGACCCCTCAGCTAGCTGCTCCTGCCATCGCACCTCAGTCTCTGCCACTGTGGACATGACGCTCCTTAGAATGGTAAGCAGTGAGTGCCTCTGTAAGCTGCTTTTGGTCATGGCATTTGATTGCAGCGGCATCGAAGTAGCTAATATACATCCTATCCCAGAAGTCCTGAACTTATTTTACATGCATCTCAAGCCAGATATTAAAAAAGTTCATGGGAAACCTCCCGGGGCCGATTTGTTCCCTTCGACATTTCGAAGATTTAGTGTTCAGTTTAGTTGTTACAGGGCAAGAACAATAATAGCTCAGGGTCAAGATGTTGGTACAAAAGAGGGCTCGGGGTAAAGGCAGCCATTTCTTCCTCAGAGGCGCTCGGCTCAAGGCCTGTCTCTGCTGGTTGGTTGTTTTGTGTAAGTCCTCATAAAGAAGACTGTCACTCCATTTATTGGAAAGTAGTTTCCTTACAAAAAAAGGAAAGAAGGGGAAGGTGGGGAGAGAGAAGAGAGGGAAAGGAGGAACTTACCACACAGGGGGACATCACAATAGTCATAGAGTTTTCTGGGGTTCATTGTATAGCACCAAGGACCATTTACATCCCCGTCCGGGTTTCGGCAGTACTGAAAAGAGATGGGGCATTTGAGAGAAGGCTCACCTGGGGTGGAGGGGGGGACCAGATATAGAGAGGTCTACCTATAGGATGGAAGGGAGTGTCCCTTTGATTTCTTTCCTTCTTGTTCTTTTGATAAGTTGGTTTAAGGTGCTTATGAATCTCAGTTGCAGAATGCCAATGGTCCGGTCTCTGCTCAAAGCAAGTTTCAGCTAGGAAACCCCTCCCTGGGCCAGTTGTGAGAGAGCCAGCCATCGGGGACAGTGGGACATTACTGGTCGTCTTATCTTATCATTGGTGGCTTCAGTTAATCCTATGTCCCATGAAGCCTTGTTTATTTAAAATGTTTGCACCCTCCATGGGCCCAGACAGAAGGTAGCGTGCTCTCTGATACTGTGATACAATAAACACAGATATGGCTTCTGACTCCTCCAGCCTGTGCTGTTTCCTGGGGAGCATCAGACACAGCCCCTAAAGGCCTGTGACATCCTGGGAGACAAGAGCATCTTTTGCTCTAATGAAGTAACCAGGAGAGTTTCTGGAGAGGTTTGGGATGTGGGGATGTGAGCAAAGCATTGGAACTTTTGCCCTGTCCTCTGAACCCTGGAAGAGGAAGAGGGGCTGATGGTTGCATTGCACCAAAGGTCAATACTGTGGACAACCATGTCAACACAGCAAAGTTTCCATTAAAAAGGGGAACAAGGGGCACAAGTTCCAAGGGATTCCAGGCGCTGCAGAGTGCTGGAGAGTGCCCAGGGAAGGCAGGGCTCTCCTCCCCTCCCCATGCCCCTCTGCGTGTAGGGCCTAGATAGCTCTTCATGACAGTGATCCCAGAAGCTATGAGATCTGTCTGTTCTCAGACAGAGTCTGACTGTAGGATACCTAGCTGTGGCCTCATCTTCGTTCCCCTCCACCCGACACCCACCCACACCAATTTTCCCCTCCCTTCCTTTTCCCTCAATCCCAAAGATCAGTCCTGGACAGTTTAGTGAAAACCCCGAACTTGATCTGTTCAAAGGTTAGCCAGGAGAATGCGGAACAGAACTCAAACCGGAGTGGCTTACATTCTTTTCCAGACCTGCCCGTGGGTTTGTCTGTGGGGTGAAGATGCTGTGCCTGTGGGGTTCCTGGGCAGCCCATCCCTGGCAGGGAGTGCCAGCTGCAGTGATGGCTATTTTGCCCCGATAGTCCTTACCGTTCTCGTACATACAGTCTGTGGGAAAGGAAGAGGGAGGTCATTCTCCCCTGGGTAGCCCAAGCAGGGTACAGCATAAAGCACCAGTATTGGCTTGCTCTACTACAGTGGCTCCCAGCGTCCCTAATGCTGCGGCCCTGTAATGCAGTTTCTCCTGCTGTAGTGGAAACCACTGCTCAGGTAGGTTAGTGTTGGGTTGCTCTCCAGTGGCAGACCCAGTGACTCAGCCCCAAACACTGGGATGCTAACAGCTTAGCAAGAACTGCTACCTAGTTTAAGTGGGCAGAGATGTTTACTGGCTTGGAAATGATCCAGCATTGGTAGGATGTTTTAGGAAAAGGAAATCAAACTAGGACATAGGAAAACCCGGCTTTACAACAATTGTGTGAATTGTTACAGCACGTGGAGGGCTTACGGGGTGCCCTAGGAAACTGTCCACTCACCTTCTCCCATCACCTTCCCACCTCCCCCAAGATGAAGCCGAAGCTCATTCCACACAGCAGACTCTCAGCCCACACTGGCACCCCCATGCAGTGTGGGAACTTCCACATCAGTGACACTTCCTCCTCTGTGTCCAGTCTCCACATCTGCCCAAAGATGTCCGGTCACTGGCTCCTTACCTGGCTCAGAGGTGGCTGGTACATTTGGAACTTGGGGGACCATGGGCGATTCCACAGCACTCCCTCCTGTCTCAGAGCATCTCTTCAGGTTGCAGTATTCCCACCTGACGCTTGGGTCAGTGGTGTAGCACCAAGGGCCCTTGTCAGCATCAGGGTTTCTGCAGTAGTTCATCTCCAAACCGCTGTAAACCCCAAGACAGTGCCGTCAGCAGTGGTAGAGAAATTCAGTTCCTTCTGGAGTTCATTACAACGAAAGTGTTAGCAAAGTGCCTTTGGAACATCCACTGAAGATATTAACAATGAGCAATAACAAGAGGCCCTCTTCACCAAAACTGAAACAATGTAAATATAATGTAAATATAAAAGCACTCTGTCAAATGCTTTCTCCCAATGTAGATCTTAAAATGTAATTTTAGATTTTAAAAAACTATTAGGAATATATCAATCTTTCTATATATCTCTACATTGGGATATTTAAAATGAAAGTTAAAACATCACTCAAAGGAAGCAATAGCATATGAAAAGGAGAGTTCCCTAACCTGTCTGTTCTTAATGTGGTTAAAAGACAAACATTTATAGTTAATGGAAAGTATGAAGTTGATGTCACTGTAAATATGATAAGGGTTGGTTTGCATTTGAAAGATTCATAAAAGTTGGCTTGGAAAACGAGTTCTCTGGCAGAGCGTCATTTTAATCCTTATCCTTAGAGTCACTCAGGGCCATGACCTACAGCATCTGTGGGAAACAGAACCCAGCACTGTCTGGATACTGCAGACAAGTCCCTTTCTCTCAGGCCTGTGCCCACAGCTGGAGGAGGCCAGTCAATGGGGTTCCAAGGTGCCAGCTATGCTGACAGGCATCTGCTTTCTGTTAGTTGAGATGTACTTTACTTCTGGGATTGTGGTTTGAATCTGAAATGTCTCCCGCAGACTCATGTTTTAAACATCCGGTTCCCCAGCCAGTGGTGGTGTGTGGGGAGGTTCTGGTAACTTGGGGAGGCAGAGCCTAGCTGGAAAAAGTAGGTCAATGGGGCAAGTCCTTAATACAATATTATACATACTGCAATCTTATCCCTGACCACTTCCTGCCACCCTCGCTGCTGTTGTGTGTACAGCTTCCTCCACAACATGCTCCAGCCACTGGAATAGCCAACGGCACAGGCGTGTGGAGCCAGTGATCATAGATCAAACTCTCTGAAACCATGGGCCAAAAATGAATGTTCCCTACTTAGTTGTGCCTATTTGGTATTTTAGTCACAGCGATACCAAAGTAACTAGTACGTCTCATGGGATATACAGAGTATGATAGGTTTGATAAACATTTTCATTATCCTGGAAGCCCCATCTCCACCCCTTCCTCCCAGGGTTTATTTTGTCCCAAGTACAGTCTCCTCTTATCAATAAATGGATACCCATAAAATGTGCATTTTTATATATTCTTTCCTTAATAGAAAATTTTTGAGGTCCTTTCATTGTATGACTGGACCAAAAAGTGTTAATTCATACTTTTTAAATATAATTTTTTATTTATTACAATTTGTTCACTTTGTATCCCAGCTGTAGCCCCACTCTCATCTCCTCCCAATCCAGTCCTTCCTCCCTTCCTCCATCCCTCATCTCCTCCAATGCCCCCCAGTCTACTGATATGGGAGGACCTCCTGCCTTTCCATCTGACCCTAGCCTATCAGGTATCATCAGGACTGTCTTTCATAGTCTTCCTCTGTGGCCTGGTAAGGCTGCCTCCAGCCCCTCAGGGGGAGGTGATCAAAGAGTCAGCCACTGAGTTCATGTCAGAGACAGCCCCTTTTCCCCTTACTAGGTAGCCCATTTGGAAACTTTTTATTGATGATCTTTAATGTTGTTTATAGCCTTGGGCTATCATATATAAATGAATATTTTCCATACATAAATTACTGTATTAATATTCTTCTTTTGAAAAATATTTAGCCAGGTATGGTGGCTCGTTCTCCTAATTTCAGCACTCAGGGAGCAGAAACAGGTGGATGTCTGTGAGTTCCAGGCCAGTTCTAAGCCAGGCAAGGCTATATCATGAGTACTAGGTTAGATGACAACTTTGTGGAATCAGGTTTCCCTTCAACCTTGACATGGGTTCAGGAGAGCTAACTCTGGTTGCCTTGTTTGTGTAGAAAGCTCCTTTCTCACTGAGCCACCTCAACAGACCCACTATACAAATTCTTAAAGATCTCTTTGAGGGATAGTAGTTCTATTTTATGAGATAAATATTCAGAAAGGGGGTTGCAGGTCTATAGGGTAAAAACATGTCTACGTAACCTTACAAGAAGCCATAGACTGATTTTTAAAGTCATTGCAAGGTTTACACTCCAAGAAGCATGTGTACTGATCATACATCCTTCTCCATGCCCGAAACACCCCTTACTCCTGTCTCTTCACTAGTAGCCATGTCTAGTTGGTCCCTGTAATTACAATTCTTATTTCTTTGATGGTCTATTCTGCTAAACCTTCTCAGTCTTTCTCAGGCCATTGGCCATATGTATATCTGTTCGTGTCTGTTATCTGTTTTTACAATGCGTGTTACCTTTGTGAGTGGGAGGAACACTTACATATCTGTACTTGAGGAATGAGAAAGGAAAAATTGAGGCTTAGCAGTGATGTGTGTGTCAAGTTGACACACATATGGATTGAGAGTTGTCAATATACGTTGTCACACATATGGATTGAGAGTAATTTTTCTCCAAGTCTCCATATATCTGTGTTTTCAATGATGACTTTTCGTAAGGTTTTCATTTTATAAAAACAAAATTATCATTTTTAAAAATATTTGCTTTTTTAAAAAGATTTTTTAAAAGATTTGCCTTTCCCCAGGTTATGAAAACACTTACCTGTTTTGTTTTGTTTTTCCCCAGAATTTGCATGTTTCGGCTTTAATTGTAGCTTGTACAGTGAAGTCTAACAGCTATGGCAAATCTAGTTTGACACAGAAAGTATCAAGCATGCACACTTTGAGTTTGCTGCATTTGGGGTTTGGTTTGGCAGGGGTGGGGGAGTATTATACCCAGCATCTGTTATTTCTCGACTGCTCTGGAAGAAGATGTCCCTTATGCACTGAGCTGCTTTGCCACCTGCACTGGAAAATCATTTGTTCATCTGAACCAGTGTTTGTTTCTGGACTGTCCCCGCTTCCTTTCTCTGTGCCCCTTCCTGCCGACACTGTAACAATGTGATAGTCCTGATCACTCTCTGTGGACCCGTCAGCCATCCAGCACTGTTCCTTTAAACATTATCTTGATGATTCTAAGGCCTTTGCCTGTAAATGTTGCCCCTTTCCCCAAAAACAGCCTGCTGGAATTTGTGGGTTGAATCCAACAACTGACTTGGCTAGGACTGGTACGTTTATTTAATCTTTTGATTGATACATTTGACCTATCATCATTTAGCTCTTTATTTCCTCCTTAGTGATATTTAAGCTATACAGTATACAGTTTTAGGTATGCTATATTAAATTTTTCACTAAGAACTTTGTAGTTTTTATACTGTTGTTGGCGATGTTTGTAATCTTATTGTTCGATTATATATAGTTAGTGTAGACAATGACTTATCTGTTGACCTGTGTATGCCTGCTGCTCTTTGAACATGCAAATTCACTCAGCCATTAGGACTGTCTGTGTCTGTTAGTCATGTGCCTTATGAACAAGGATGTCTGTATTTTCCTTCTTCTGCCTTCTGTTCTTTTCTTCCCTTTCTCCTTCTCTTCCCTCTGTTCCTTCCTCCTTCTGTCCCTCCCTTTATTCCCTCCTTTCTTCTCACCCTCAGATCCTCTGTCCCTTTTCTTCCTCCCTTCTTTCCCTTCTTTCTTCTTCTTTCCTTGCTAACTTGCTTTTTGTTTCCTTCCCTCTGTTCTTCCTACCTTCCTTCTTTTCCTCCTTCCTTCTCTCCTTTCTAACTTTCTTTCTCCTTTTTACTTTCTCCCTCCCTCCATCTGCACCTTACTTTTTCTCTACCTCCCTCCATCTCTCCCTTCTTTCCTCTCTCCTTTTTCTCTCCTATCATCTGTTCCTTTTCCTCTACCTCCCTGTTTCTCTCTCCCCCTCTTTCCTTCCCTTCCTTCCTCTCTCCTTTTTTCTCCTTTCTTCCTTCCTTCTTTGTCTCCCTCCCTCCCCTCCTCCTTTCCTAACTCTCTTGCTTCCTTATTCTATCTTATTGCAATGGCTACCAACACTGTTACTCTCTGCCAACCCATACCCCTTGAGAGCACTGCATTCCTGGCCCGTAAGGCTTTCCAGGTAAAGTTATTGAAATAAATGGAGATGCAAATGCTGCCAGAAACATCAGCCTGTGAGTCAAACACAAAACTTTACCCAGGCGGTTTACAGTGAAATGGCATGTTCCAGTGCTGAGAGCAGGCATTGTCTTCAGTTCAGGTTGAGTGGTGGTCCTGGCTCTAAGCTTTATGGACTCTTATTCTCACAAGATTTCCACCAATGGGATCTTAACACCTCCACACATCACCCCTTGCTTTCACAAAATTTCTCAGGAAAAAGAACCAGTCTATGGTTTCTCTCCTCCTGGGCCTTTTTCTTTTCTTTTTTTTTTTTTATTTAATTTTATTTTTTTTCTTATCAGTTATATTGGGCCTTTTTCTTAAAAGCCAAGGTCTTGTCACATTCTGCCCCATCTGCGGATCTCAGAGATTTGATCCAAAGGAATTAGCATGGGGCACTCAATAGAAACCTGAGTCAGCTACTGATGTTCTTCTCATGGTTGAAATCAAAGACATACGCATCTGGGAAGTTCCGTGGGGTCTTCACATGCCGGTGCGGAGTCATAGATGTCCAGGACTGGCACTTCTTCCCTGTGATGGTGGTAGATGATGTGCCCCGATAGCTCTGCCCATTGCCCTGGTAGCATTCCTGGACCACAGGCGTTCGCTCCGGTAGAACTGAAATCAAAGAAGAAATTGAGAGAAAATAAGATCTGGAGCACACAGACATGGACAGTAATTTATGAGCAAAGCAGGAATTCCCACTGCCTGTACCTGCACACACACACCATTTATAATGTTGTAGAACGTATTGGGGAAAAGACCTTGGAAGATGAGCAAAAGCAGCAAGAGTGTTGATAACTGGAAATAATCATTGTGTACAATGTTTTATGAATCACTACATGTTCATGAGAACACCAGGGCAGGATGCTCCATGACCTGACATTCCATCATGCTGCCCTAGACCACCTCTTTGTTCATAAGACTCCAAAGCCTTGAGATTCTGCAGCTAGGGCAGAGGTGGTCCTGCATCTAGGACACAAGACAAGGCCATTGATTCTCAGAGGTGGCCACAGTCAAACCCTATCAGGTTGGGGTTGTGAAATAGTCTTGGTTAGTTAGTGGATCTTCTGGTGAAGATGAACAATATACATGAATAAAGGGAGAATTTCAGCAGAGGTAGAAACTTCTAAAAATAATAGCAAAACACAAATTCAAGGCGCAAACTTCACAGCATCAGAGGTGAAGTCCTGCAATGGACTGATCAGCAGATAACACAGCTAACAGAGTAACTGGTGAACTAAATTGTGTTCCATTTGGCACAAAAAGAGAAATATGAGTAGCAGCCATGAAACAGAGAATAGAATAACCACCTTAGTGGGCTTAAAGCCAGCCACACACAATTATGCTAATGCAAATATCTCAGTTGGAAGGTTAAGAAGATAAATCACACAAGTACTACTGAAGGCAGAGCTGCAAAGTCTCTGTTCATGTCAGTAAAAAAAAACTTCAGAACAAGGAATGTTTTCAGAAGCAAGGAAGATAGGCCATAAAAAGGAGACATGCCATCAAGAAGATAAAGATGTCTTCAACGTGTATGTGCCTACCAACAGAGCTTCACAATACAGAAGGCAAACAAACTAAAGAAGTATAGACAGTTAAAGTTGGTCAGACAATAGAATACAGAACCCTGCCTAACAGAATTTTCAAATTGATTTTTGGAAGAAACATTCTAAGTACAACAGCAGAGGCCAAATCTTCAAGAGCTCAGGAAACATATCCTGAGCCAACAACAAGTTGAAAATGCTATAATGGAAATCATACAAGTCACACCCTGACCCACAGTGAAGGTTAAGCGAAGCAAAGGTACCACATTCTGATACACTGTGAAGAGGCCACTGGAGACAAACATGAACAGAGCATGAAGTGAGCTCTCGTGACCGCACTCGTACCTGAGGAATCTGAAAGGTCTGGTGAAGACGAAGAGGACTCGCAGGACGGAATCTCACAGTACTCCCACCTCAGCTGGCTGTCGGTGGTATAGCACCAGGGAGCAGTTTCTCCATCAGGGTTACGACAGTAGTTTTCTTCCAAATTTCTAGAAAAGAAGTATGAGTTTCTCCTCTTCAAGGAGTTTAGGTAGGCAAGGCGTGCGCATGCTCGCTGGAGGGAGTACTATGTATATATCTAGTCCTCTAGAATCACTCCTACTGAGTGACTGACGGGTACCAGTGGGAAGCTTAAGTCAAGCTTAGGCGTCACAGAGCCTGTCAAGGAATCTGGCCCAGAGGGATTGATGGCGGAAAACTATTCTGTGACTTTGTGTGATGGGATAAAATAGGCCTTTAGTTGGCCACTGTGTTGTATGCTGGAGCAATGGGAATTTTCCACACTGTCCTCAGAGGCTCAGACTTGGACTCTGAAATAGAGCCCAAGAGTTTGCGTTTCTAGTAAATCCCTGATGGCGTTGGTGCGGCGCACTTTGAGAAAGATTGTAACAGGAAAAGGCATTGTTGAATGTCTCTTTCCTTGCATGTGACCTGATTGGTCTTCATTCTTGAATTTTTTTTTTTTTTTAATACTACAACCAAGGTGAAGTCAACCGGCTCCACAGCCCATGGCAATGAGGGTGGGAAAGGAAATAGATGGGTGGGACATACTTGCAGGGGAAGTTCTCTGGCGTCCTGTTGTGTTTATGAGGGGTTTGCTCACTCCAGCGCTGACAGGTTTTCCCAGACACAGTCACAGACATGGTCCCCCGGTAGCTTTCACCTCTTCCCTTCAAACATTGATAGGTTGGACCGGGTGGGGGTGGGGGTGTTGCTTGAATAGGGGAAAGAATTAATCATTAATGGTTTTCCATTAAGAATGCATGGACAAGTGGCGGTGGCAGTGAACACCTTTAATCCTAGCACTTAGAGGCAAAGACGGGCAGACCTTTGAGTTCAAGGCAGCCTGGTCTACATAGTAAGTTCCAGAACAGCTAGGGCTACACAGAGAAACCCTGTCTCAAAAAAGAAAATCAAAGAAGGAAAGAAGGAAGGAAAGAAGGAGAAAAAAGAAAGAAGAGAAAAAAGAGAGAGGGAGAAAGAAAGAAAAGAAAAAGAATGCACAGACAGAGGCTATGGATGAAGGCAAGGTGCTCAGCTATGTCCTCTCTTACTCCTCTGAGATTTCACACTTGGAAACAGTATGTTCAGTTTGGTAGACTATGTATCCACATGGCCATTTCATCAGGAGTCTTTAAAAATGGATGCTGGGCCAGACGTGTCTGTATCTAGTCTTCTGGGTTACTTCACCAAGCACGGAAAGACTCGGCGTAAGTCTTGCACCTCAAGTCCTGGCACATGCCAGTGATAGGTAAACACAACAGTGCCCATCTCCCGTAGAGGCACACAGCTGAGAAAGAGCCCGTGGGAAAGGTCTTAGCTACATATGCACCTCCCAACAGAGCTTCAAAATACAGAAGGCAAACAGACCCTACGAGAAATAGATCAAGCTGCAGTTAAGCCTGAATGTAACCCCCTATCTCTCAATAACCAATAAAATAAAAATATGGGGGAAAAAACCCACTAACCAAATATCTTTAAGAAAATGTATGCAACCAGAAATTAAGACATTGTTGAGGGGAGGGAGACCCACAAGGAGAAAATGAAGGAGACTGCCTGAGGACTCTCTGCTTCTCAATGACGGCAGAGCAAAGGAGGGAGGCTGTCCCTGAGTGCCTTTGCTAACATTCGCTCACAGCCTGTCTACCCTTTGAGACTCTGTTTCAATTATCAAAGAAGGAGCAGTGTGAAATAGCTTTCCCCACATGTCACTTTTATGGGCTCTACTTACTCACTTGAGCACCCCCAAGTTAGACAGCTGGAACAGCTGAGTGCCCGCAGGCATCTGTGTTGACAGTACAACACTTATTTAAACAAACAAACAAAAAAACTGTCTGGTAATGAAGTCCACGAAACAGCCATGCTGTCGGGCTCCCTTCAGCTCAGGGACGACTGGAATGGCAGAGCTACTGCTCAGACTCCTGCCTCTGAGCGTGTGTATGAAGAAGGGCACTGACCCAACTAACTCCATATGTCTCTGTGTTTGCCTCTTTAACTCTTTCTTCCTGGGTCACTCAGTTCTGCAGCCACCTTGGGTTTGAGAAATGACTTGGATGATGGATAAACAGCTCTGTATGTGTGTGTCTGTGTGTCTGTGTGCACTCACACATGTGCACATACGTGTTCGTGTGGGTACATGTGGCCAGAAGGCAACTGCAGCTGTTATTCCCTAGACATATTTACTTTTTTTTTTCTTCTTGAGACAGGGTCTTTAATTTGGAAATTACCAAGTAGGTTAGGCTGGCTGGGCATGGATCCATTTGCTCCCACCTGCCTTCACCTCCCCAGCACCAAGATTGTAAACTGCCACCACCATGCTTAAGTGTTTTTGTTTTTTTTTTTTTAAAGTGTAGGTTCTAGAGATTGAACGCAGACCATCAGGCTTGTGGGGCAAGCGCTTAACCTCCTGACACATCTCCTCAACCTCTGGATTATGACAGAGTAAACCTGCCCCAAGAAACACTGAACCCTCAGGACAGATCATCTCCAAGTGAGGACAGTTAGTCATGATAGAGAGGCAGCACCATAAGAGAATAGTCATCTCCTGGGAAGCAGACTGCTCCACTGAAGTGGTGGAGGTGGTGGAGGTGGTGCCGGTGATGATAGCTTCCCCAACAGAAGCACAGCTGATATAATAACCACCTGTCCACCAATAACCAAGGCCTCCTGCTTTCTCAACTATGTGAACCCCAAGCAAATTCCTGGAGCTCCCGCCCTTAGAGATGAGCATACTATCACTGTACTCTACCCGTACTTTTCAATGTGGTTACACGATCACATCTTTCTTTGCTCACATCTCTCTCTGCCTTTGATCACTCCTGCATCTTTCATGAGCAAATGAGTAGGTGTAGAGTCCAGTCTCTTAGGACTCCTAAGAGTTTCCCCTTAAAACTGATAATATTCACAATAGGCAGAAGTCTCCGACTGGGAACAAAAAATCAATAAATGGATACCCTTATCAGTTACCTAAATAGCCAATACATTTTATGAGAGAGGACTCATACATTTTATGAGTCCTGCAGACCTGTGGGACTACTCTTTAGGACCTGTACTCAGTTACCAACACCCTTCCGAGAAGGGCTGTGTGGGGAGCTCCCGGAGTGTTGGGTATGGACTGAACGTACTACAGCGAGGGATGTCACAGTACTCCCAGCGTTTGTTGGGGTCCATGGTGAAGCACCAGGGGCGAGGCTCCCCGTCAGGATTGCGGCAGTAATTCATCTTCAGGTTCTTGCCTGGAAATCTGGGTGGACAAGAAGATTTTCCCCGTTTTCTTTCTTTCTTTCTTTTTTTTTTTTTTTTTTTTTTTTTACTTGTTGTGATAACATATCATTAATTTAGGAATAAAAATCATATAATTCAGCATATACTTTTTCTTTTTACTTTTCTAACTTTTTGTATTCTTCTCTCATATTACATCCTGACCTTGGTTTCCCCTTCCTTCCCCTCTGCCCCCAGTCTTTCCCTCCCACATCCTCTCTCCTCCAAGTCCAATCCCCTCTACTCCTCCTCAGAAAAGGGCAGCCCTCTCAGGTGCACTGAACAACTTCTGCAAAGCAAAGGACACTAACAAAGGACAAAACAGCAGCCCAGAAGATGGGAAAAGATTTTCACCAACTCCACATATGACAGGACTCATATCCAAAATAAATGAAGACCTCAAGAAACTAGACTTCAACAAACTAAATAATCCAATTAGGAAATGGGGTATAAATCTAAATAGAGAATTCTCAACAGAGAAATGGCCGAGAACACCTTCCATGTTCAACATCGTCACAGAAGGAGAAAGAAAAGCATGGTATCCGTGAGGAGATGTTTTCCTGTGCAAAATGTGAGCTTGAGTCCTCACAAGTGCTTCCTCTGAAAACCATCATAGCTTTCTGGAACAGGGAGCCCCTGATCCTGCCCTTAAACTTAAAGTCACATTTAAGAACTTGGTAGGAGTTGTGAATGACCCAGTATAAATACACATAAAACATTAAAGAGCTGTAAGATGCTTGATAGTCACCCATAGATAACACAGTCTAGACTATAACTGATGTGAAAAGAGAAAGGAAGGGAGTGAAGGGGCATCCACAAGCTAAGCAAGCAGAGACATCTGAAGACCAGGGTGTGTCTAAAGAGCCTCCATCTTGGGTGCAAGACCTTACTTGGCAGGGAGGTATCCATGAGTGTGCGGGCTCTGCGAGTCCCAGGCCTGACAGTCAAGTCCAGACGTGGTCTTGGAGATTTTCCCCTCATACTTTTCTCCACTGCAGTGCATACATTCTTCTGTGCGGAGTAGGGAGAGAGGGAAGAGAGAGAGAGAGAAACTGAGGTGAAGCCCACTGTAGAGCAGAGGCTGGAAGCCCTCTGGAGAGCTTTCCAGTGCTCCCTGCCGCCCGTTCATGCATGACTCACCATAACTGTAATCGTTTTGCTCATTTCACTCCCAGTGTGTTCATTATTGGTAGATAGTAAAGACTACTGACTTTTTGTATGTTAGTTTTTATATCTTATTTCTTTTCTGAAACTCTTCGTGGAACTTTAGAGTTCTCTGCTGAACCCTCTGTAGCTTTTTTCAGTTTAGTTTGGTCATTCAAAACAGGGATAATTGGACTTCCATCTTTCCCCAGTGCCTCACTGGAGGATGTCACTCAGCCTCAAGCAACCAAGCTTCTGTTTGTGTGTTGCAGAGAAACATGACTGATGGGAGGATGGGTGTTGTTGTGTTTGCTTTTCTTTTCTTCTCTTTTTCTTTTTCTTTTTTTTTTTTTTCTCTCTATTTAAAAGCTAATTCTTCGACGTGGAATTGTTAAAATCCTGTGCTGAGGAGGAATAACGTACAACTGGAATTTTTATGGTGTCGTTAAAAAAAATCCAGCTGTGAAGTTGATGTAAAAAACATGTGTTCATGGGATGTAAAGGCCAAATGACCTATGACCATCCATATCCAAATACAAGAGCTCCTCTGTCCATATAGGTAAACTGATGAGAAAAGCAAGTTGGCACCTCTAATGTGCCCATACTACCTCATAAATCCCACTTGACTCTCTTTTTCTTGCTCTAATAAATACACCTAGGAAAAGGAAATGAAGGCTTCCCCCCCCCCCCAGTCTGGTGTTTTAATGCTTTTAGCATCGACCTTTGAAGTTCTCTATGAAACAGATAGGCCCATTAGAACGATGGCTGACACAAAAACTGGTGTGTTGCTTAACTTCAAGCTCAACAACAAAATCACCCACGTGAAATCATTCCTCTTGTGTGCTTGAATTTCACTGACTTTTGTGGCTTTAAATTAACCGTTTAATTCCACCTGTGCTTGGGGTTTTACACTGTGTAAAAGAAAAACTCGTATCGATATTTTGGAACTGGGTATACATGTGTACATGTTGAAATAAGGTTTTAATAAGAATAGTTCAGGTCAACACTGTAACTCGTTCACAAGAGGCGAGTCCACCACTCCGTTCTGGAATGCACGACACGAATCGGTGTAGTTGTAGGGCACATGCGGGGGCGGGGGGCGGGGGGGGCGAGAAGCAGATAGGAGGGGGTTTCTAGAGCCACGCCTACCTTCGCATTCGGGGATGTCACAGTAGTCATATCTCTGGTCCGGGTCCGTGGTGTAGCACCAGGGCCCCTGCTCATCGTTGTCTGGGTTCCTGCAGTAGTTCTCCTCCAGGCCCTCGTTCGGGTATCTATCAGGGGAAAAGCTGTGGGATGGAGAAGGAATGTGGTGAGTGAATCCTGAAGAACAGAGTGAGAGAGACGTAAGGGGTTTGCTGTGCCTCGCATCCAGGGTTCAGTTCAGTCACCGGGATGTGTTTTAGTTGCTGGTTGTCACATCCTTCCTTCTCTGTGGATGGGGAGCTTGGCTCAAACAGCTCATCCTCCTACATCCATAGCAGTGACCACTCTTTTGTCTGTGTGAACTCTGCCCCTGGCATTCTACTGAAACCTTCTATATTATGTCACTGGCCCTTAATGAAAAGAAATGTACTAAGAAGGGATCATTACCCCTGTGGTACTGAGTGTGGTGAAATAAGCAAAACCAGCTGGTGCCTCGGCTAGATGGATCAGCAAGGGGCAGAGGAAGACTGAATCACATGGAGCAGGCTTTCTTTGAAATGCAGCCTGAGTGATCAGGGTTGGGGAAAGCTGAGCTCATCTTCTGATCTAGAGATGAGTTTCCGCAAAGATAACTAGATAAAACATGCAAGAAATCACAGGCTAAAGAAGCAGGCTTGATTTCTGGTTCCTCCAGGTACCTGTTTGGAAGAACTTTTACCTGATTAGAAAGGCTCAGATGCCTCATAAATGAGGTTGTTCTTCAGCTATGGCCTCTGGAGTCATCACAGAGAGCTTAATTATATCTATTGCTATGCTGGAGTAAACACAAACAGAATGGCCCTAAAATAATAAGAAAGTTGCAAACTTTTCTATTTGTTTTGTGTGTGTGTGTGTGGTTTTTTTTGTTTGTTTGTTTGTTTTTGTTTTTTGTTTTTTTTACATTTTATACCCTTATTGGATCAGTGTTGAGGTGGGCATGTCATGTAAGCTCTAACTTGATGTTTGACTGAAACACACCCACCTCTGATACTGGTCTCTCTTATGGTTGTTTAATTGTCAGCTTGGCGTGACTCACCTAATGAGTCTAATGAGACAAGCATCTCAGTGAGCAAAGTCTCTAGATACCTGTGTGCATGCCTGTGAAGGTATTGTCTTATTACATCAAGACCCGGCCCACTGTGGGCAGTGCCAGTCCCTAGGCAGGATATTCTGGACTGGATAAGTGCAAAGATGGAACTGAGCACCAGAAAGCATGCATGCCTTTTTTTTTTTTTTTCTCTGTTCCTGACTGTGGGTGTGTTGTGACTAGCAGCTTCAAGCTATCGCTGCTGTGACTTTCCCATAATGATGGACTGTAACCTGCAATTGTCATCTAAAATAAAGTCCCTTTCCCCGTGAGTTACTTTTTTTTTTGCTACGATATTTTTATAACAGCAACAGAATGAAAACTAGGACAGCCTCAGATTCAGTTGTGTGGTTCTTTTAACATGCCTCCTTCTGTTTTAGGACTCCTGGCATATTATGTAAGAAGATGAATAGAAAGCAGCCACTTTCTGCTCTTGTGTTGTGAACAGTTCAGCCTTTCCAAATCCACATCAAAAGGTTCTCTGTCTGCTCACACTCACATTCAGATTTAATTTGGAAACAATAAATTTGTTCTAAATACATCCATGAACACCAACACGAAAGAGCAGGGCTTACTTGGGGACGTGTGGGGACGTGTCACTCCACTTCTGACAGGTAACCCCATTTTTTGTCTTAGACATGGTTCCTCTGTAGCTCCTCCCAGTGCCGGTCATACATTCCAACAGATACACTGAAAAGAGACCCACACAGTGATTCAAAGTCCAAACAGCCAGCCTCTGGAAGAGCATTGCCCAGCGTAGTACCACCATGGGAAAGGCCTTGAAAGCAAGCCTTCCTACTCTCTGGGAGGCAGGTGCTCTGAAGGGCTGCTGCAAATGCTGTTTGACGTTGACCCTGTCATGGTTTTGACTGTTGCCTCGACACACCTAGAATCGTCTAGGAAGGGGGTTGATTGAGGAATTGTCTAGATCAGATTGGCCTGGGGGATGTCCTAATTGGGTTAAATGTGAACAGCACCAGGTCACGGGCTTAGAGTTCAGATCACTGAACTCTCTTAGAAGAAAGCTTGCTGAGCATAAGCAGCAGGCAAGTAATGTTGTGCGTATTATATCTTCGTTCTTGACTGTGGCTGTGATGCAGCTGGCTGCTCGAGTTCCTGCTGTTGACCTCCCCTCAGTGATGGACTGTGACCCACAATTAATTGTGAGCCCAGATAATTCCTTGGATCCACTAAGTTGATTCTGGTCAGAGCATTTTATTACAGCATCAGAATGAAAACAGAACAGACATGTTTATTCAAAAATTCTTTCCTTGGGCCCTCTGTGTCTAATCCGTGCCATGGCTGGACCACTGGAAAACACAAAGAACAAGTCCAGGCCTACTCTCCTGGAACATAAATTTTAATGGAGCCAGGATGGTGACAAAAGGGAAGTAAGATGAACAGTTTGAAATGAGCTAACACCACAGCATCAAGTGTCAAGAGACATAGTGATGAGAAAGAACTACAGCAAGGGAAAGGGGGTTTTCAGACAGTGAAGGCTGTTCAGAGGCCCAAAAGAGTCCATCCAGCCTGTGGGTTTTATTTTTTTTTAATATACATAGTATCAAATAGGGCAATCAAAATCTTAACAATGAACACTCCCAACCAGCTCCACTTACCCAATCACCAGCTGTCCAAAGGGCTTCATCCTGTTTTTGAAATACACTCAGATGCCCACTGTGGTTCCCAAGTGATGGTTCATCACCCTAAGTGGGAGGCCCCTAGTGTGCACCCAATTCTGTCCCAGAAAGTAGTAGTAAGGGCCCCAAATATTATTTGTATTAATGTCCAGTTATCCCATTTGGTGATGCTTTGTTACAATCAAGGCTGAGACATGAATATGAAAAAAAAAAAGCAGTGTTCATATTTCATTTTTCTTTAAATTTGAGTCAAATACCTTTTTGTTCATTTGCTGTGGCAGGTTTCACTGTGTGTAGCATTGGATAGCCTGGGACTCTCCATGTAGACCAGGCTGACCTCAGACTCACAGAGATCCACCTGCCTATGCCTCCTGAGGGCTGAGATTGAAGTCGAGTGCCACCATAACCAGCCAATTGAATATATCTTTACGGGTGTTTGTTTTGTGTGTTGTGAGCACATTTATGTTCTTGTTGGTATGGGGCACACGTGTTTGCGTGAGTGCGCCTGAAAGCCAGTGGTCGACCACAGGTGCCTTGACCCAGCTCTCTACCAGGCTGTCTCAGTGAACTTCTGAAGCTGGACTGTTTGGCCAGTGAGCATTAAAGCTTTACCTCTCTCTCTGCTCCTGCTGGCAACACGGTTACAGGCACGCACCATTGCCGCCAGCTTACGCAGGTCCTGAGATCAGAACTCAGGTCCCTGTGCTTGCGTTGCAGGCACTTACAGACCCAGCCATCCCCCTCGGCCCCTAGCTGGAGACCTCTAAGGATGTGAGAGAGCTGAATCATTTTTAAATCGCTGTCAGATTCAATGAGGACAGCACACTCACATAACTGACTACACGAGCTTGAGGGGGAGGCTCACACAAATCTATGGGCATGGCAGAATCAGCGTATCACCAAGACTGTCAAGGTGACAAGACTGATGTAGGAAATGACACCCTGGAGCCCGGTGTACAGCCACTGGTGGAGCCCCACACCTCAAGCGAGAAGTCTCTGCTCAACATCACAGGCCAACTTGGACTTTCAGTGATGGCACATAGCAGTGCTGTTTCCAGTGTATGCGTGCCGTTAAGATTCACCGCTACGGCCTGGTTTCTGGCTCAGGAAGTCCTTCTAACAAACCAGTAGCTTTACAACACTAATCCCAAGCGCGCTATAGCTTCCTTGGGATGCTTCATAGCAGGAGTGGTAACCCACACATTAAAGATGTAAACTTGGGGTATGCTGAGAAAGGGAGGCCCCTGGGCCAGGGAAAACCCTTGAAAAACAGCCCTCTACCAGAGTGAATAGACTTTATAACGGTTTGTTATATTTTCAAAAGAGCTAGAAGAGAAAATTTTAAGTTTCCCAACATGCACGGCTTGAATTATTACAATGTACCCTATACATATGTAAAATTATATAATTTTTTTTTCCTAGGCAAGTCATTGCCTTGTATCTCAGGCTAGCCTCAAATATCCCTTTCTGCCCCAGCAGCCTATGTGTTAAGATTACTGGCTGGATGGGTTTAAGAAATGGGTTTAAGCTAGGAAGCTCCATCTCTTAGAAGTCATACGTACAGTAACAACCAGGGGACCAGTAACTGCAGAGAACAGTCAGTCACAATGGTAGCTTAGTTCTAAGGGTGTCAAACAGGGGATATAATGTCACCTGACGCTGATGGGTCCTAGCAAAATCATGGCTAATAAATTAGCAACCAGTCCAGATTCACAGGAGCAAAGACTGACTTTTGACTTTTCTCCTCTCTTGTTTGTTTGTACCCAGCACGGGGCATATAACCTTTTGATCCACTGAAAACAAGCAAAAGCAGCCTTCAGATTTCAGAGTTCAGCCTTGCAACTCAACCCTCATGTTACCCCTGGTTAATGATCTACAAGTGTCATATTTAAATGTTAGCAGTTCATAGGAAGAACCCTATGCCATCCCCTTTTAATAAAATCTAGGTAATGGTAGGCGTGCCTCTATCCTATCCTCCCCTTGATATTTAAGAGCTAAATGCTCCACTTAGCTTGATGAGGTTTAGATTTAGTTGATGCTTCAATCTCAATAATTAAAGATACACAGGGGCAAGGAAGGAAATACCAGGGACACCTCCCAGTAAGTCTAAGAAGGAGGATTGATTGGGGAAGTAACCTCAACCTAAAGGAAGAGGTTAGCTGTTGTGGTTTTGTTCTGTGAAATATTAAGAGCCCCAGAAATCAGGTATTTCTCACACTCTTCAGTGCTCCTGATAGAAAATATTTGGAGAGCAAAATGTTTCTATCAATGGTTTTATTGCGCTACCCAACCAGAGACATAGTATAGGCAAGGCCTTTTTAAATGCCATAAACAGTCATATTCACTTAATAAATACTTGGGCCCTTCTAAGAAGATAAGTCCAGGCCATCCCAGCCCTAAAGGATGGAATTTTCTGGTCTGTTATAAAGGAAACTGGAAAATAAATGACAACTTCCATGCATCTTCAAAATTTAAAGTTAGGAAAATTCAGCCCTGAACAAAAGAAGTGGAAAATTAAATAGAAGTAAGGAGTTTTGTTCTTACCTAAATATTATTAGGACTGAAAATAGCAGTGTCTGTTGTGCCAGGAGTTACTTCAAAAGTGGGAGCCCTAGAGCATTCTATAAAATAGGTCACCCTATAAAACAGACGCCAATATTCTAAGAAGCACTTAAATTCCTTATTTCCAAACAAAACCACGTGGGGTTTTTTTAAATTATTATTTCTTGGACCACAGATATGATTTTGTAAGCCCAGTCCTTGAACATGAAACAGGCTCACATTGGCGTTATCTTAACTCAGAACTCGGCGTGTCTGTGATAGTCTCTGTTCTCATACATTGAGAATATAAAAGACGGAAGGGGAGAGAGAGGAGGGACATGGGCATACCTCTCTTTTCGAATAAGATGACATCTCTCATCCGGATGAGGGAGGAAGCCTTGCTATTCTCGGCCATGATCTCGCATTGTGGCTCTTTGCTGTGGTACTGGAATGACCTGCAGGAGAGGGGGACATTGATGAACCAGGAAGACATCCTGCATCCTGGAGCTTAGGATGGTTGCCTCTTGCTTCTGTGCAATACAGTCCTAAGGATAAGGCTGTCGGAGCGACAGTCATGCCATGTTCTTAAACCTCCGCACGCTCCTTTGCCTTTGGGTTTCAACCAATGTGCTCTCTCTTTGCTTCTTCCTTCCTTATCTTCTCCTCTGTCTGTCCTCTCTCCTTTTCTTCTTCTCTCCCTCCCTCCCTTTCCTCTTTCCTTTTGAGACAGAGTACCTGGGGAGCCTGATACTCTTGTTAGCCCAGGCCAGCCTCAGACTCTCAATCCCCCTGCCTCAGCCTCCACAGTACTGGAATTACAGGGACATGCTGCCTCTTTCTTTCTTTCTTTCTTTCTTTCTTTCTTTCTTTCTTTCTTTCTTTCTTTCTTTCTTTCTTTCTTTCTTTCTTTCTTTCCCAAGTGGCAGGTGTTCATTTTATGTTGGGGAGAAGAGACCCTGTGTTGAACTCTTTCTGTGATGGTCTGCAGGTCGGAATTCCAGGCTTCCGTAACTTTCCCCAGCTAGTGTTTGCCTCTCCCGGGGGGTTGTCTCCAGCCATGTTTAGAGTGATGCTTGGTCTCCCGTAAACAGTGCTGAGAGGTGGTGTGGCCTTTAAGAAAGACTAAGCGTTCCTGAAAGGGTGGCTCAGTCCTCCTGGTGGTGAAAAGTCATTCCTCCAGGGCTGGGTTGTTTGCTGCCAGCTCTATAAACAAAGCATGGCCTCTCCTGCCCCCAGCACCTGCCTGTTCTTCCTTCTGTCCTTCTGCTTTGTCTGCACAAGGTACAGCAGCCCAGCCTTAGACTCCCAGTCTCTGGAACCACACATTTGACACACTTCTTTCTTTCATACATTTCTGAGTCTTGGAAATCCTGGTGCAGCTATAGAAAACAGCCTAAACTCATACCTCTCCTCCCCGATGTGATCCTGCCATGGAGACTCAGTTTGACATTTAGTGCCGATGGCAGCCATCTTTCAGGCTAGATCTCCTGCCTGAAGGCTTTGCTTGAATCCGCTTGGTCTTGTGATGCTAACACAGGCAAACTCTGTGTCTCTCTCCCTCCCTGGAGTTCCTCTCCCCTCTCCTGCTGCCTTGTCAAGACCCCTCACCCCAAAGCCTAGCTCACCTCCCTCCTCTCCCTGGTGACACTTTCTCAACTCTCTTAACTCTTCCTGGTGTGTTTTTTTTCCCCCTCAGAACCTCTACAGAACAAGCGATGATTTTGTAGTAAACAGCGCCCTATCATAGCTATTCTACTCCTTTACTATGATCATTATTTTGGCTACTGCATGAATACAAAAGGAAACAGACACCCGATGGTGTGTGTATGATTCTTCGCTCCTTAGATCTTTATGGGAGTGCTTCTTCAGGTGAGCTGTAGTGAACAGGGCCTGCTGACGTCTGCCACTGAAGCTCTCAACAGGAGTTGCTAAATCCCGACACCCATGCGCGTGCATGCGTCAGGTGTGAGCCTCAGGTGTCTTCCTCAATCTCTCACCATTGTGATTGTCACGCAGGGTCTCTCACTGAACCTGGGGCTCCCCATTGGCTAGACTGAGTGGCCAATAGACTGCAGGGATCTGCTTGTTTCTGCCTCCCCAGGGCTAAGACCCAGCGGCTTAGTGTGGTTTTCACGTTTGTGCTGGGAATGAAACCCGGGTCCTTATGTTTGCAAGGCAAGCACTTTACAAACTGAGCGGTCTTTCTAGCTTCTTTTCAGGGATTTTTTTTAAAAAAGGGAACACTAATAAACCTTAATAAGACCTTGTTTTGTGGTCCTCAGGTGTCATAAGAAAACTCCAGCCCTATAAACTACTTTTACCTCAGTTTGGGTTTTTTTTTATTTCCTTTTTAAATTTAATTTTTATTTTCAAAATTATTATTGCTGTGTGTGTGTAGTGTGAGTTCAGGCACATATGTACCATGGCATGTATGTGGAGCTCAGAAGACAACTTTGTGGCTCCCTTTCCACCTTCATGTGGGCTCTAGGGATGAAATTCCGGTTATGGAGACAAAGACTCTTGACCACTGAGCCACCTTTCCAGCCTTCCTCTTTCCTCTCGAATTCTGTTCTTGTGAATAAACTGGTGAATGAGTGTCTTTTCCCCAAAAGGACAGTGTCCCAGGCAGCCAGAGCTCTGCCTGACACAGTGTCTGAGCTGGTACCTGCAAACAAAGTCTGTCTCCTCTTCACACTTGGCCGCACAGTCCGCGATGCTTCCTGCCTCTAGCTGCTTCTTGGTGACACTGAACAGCGAAGCCCCCTGGGTGCTTACATAGCCGTCCAGGGAGTCCCCTTGGCCTGAAAGGGAAGATGAAATGAGGGAAACTGAGTAAATCAGACAACAGCATTGTTAGCATGATGTGTGTGTGTGTGTGTGTGTGTGTGTGTGTGTGTGTGTACATGGCTGTGGAGTGTGTGTGAGTGTTTGTGTGTCTGTGTACATGGCTGTGGGTTTGGGTGCGTATCCCTCTGTACAAGCACATGCATGTGCATGTCTCATGCTTTTTAACGTATTTGCTTTGTATCAACCAGATAACACTGGCTGTTATTTTGAGGCTGAATGCATTAAAGAAAAGAAATCCTTATCCAGATAAGCAGGCCCAGTAGGTTCGATATATTGAAAGAGCAGCTAGACCGACAGGTTAGCAAATGAGGCCAATTACCATATGAATACGAAATGTTAAATAATGAGTGAATTATATCACTCACTATTGTTTGCCCTGGGATAAGCCAGTAAGGCCCCATCAACACAATTTGATTTTCATTTGGTCTTCCCAGAGGGCAAGTGGCACGTGGAGGCTGTGGTTCAATTGCCAATGATGTATGCTTTTCAATAAAATACGACTTTTTTTTTTCCTTAAAGATGGAACTATCTGGCATTTCAGAAAAAGTTATATTTAAAAAAAAAATGGAGCCTGGCACAAATAATTGGCTTCACTTTTTTTGCCCCCCTTTGAGAAAAAGTCATTCTTTGTAGCCCCAGCTGGCTTGGAACTCAAGGCAATCCTCCTGCTCTGCCGCCCAAGTGCAGGATTACAAGCACGTGCTACCAAGCGTGGCCTGCTTTTGGTTTTTGTATGAAACACAATCTGAGGCAGTCAGTTGCTTTCCCTCTTGTCACCACAGAATGTGGTCACTGCTGCTGAGTGTCCCCTAAGCTAAGGTGCTACAAAGCCTGAGCCCCTTCTACCATTCTTTCTATGTAAATACTCATGACTGCTGTAGGGGAGAGAGGACAAAGAGGTTAATGAAAATAGCAAAGTCTTCATGGGAATTAGGCAATCTGGCAACCTTGACCTCTTGAGGGGAACCAGCGCCAGATCCAGCAAGTTAAAAGAGTAACCAGGATCGGAAGCAGGAAAACTCAAAAAGACAATTGATAAACAGAGACTCCTCTTTGAAAGTCTACCTTCTCCCTTCTTGATGACTTCACCTCTCCTCCGTGCTCCAAACTGGAAGGCTGGTTAAAAGAGTGGAAAGTTGGCTGATGCATTTTTAAATTGCCAAAGCATTTGATATGGGCATAAGAGATTAGGGAGAAATGGAACATTTTAGGCTTGAGTTTTATTCGAACTCTTATTTTGAGAAGCGCTGTGCTTTGAAAGTCTGTAGAGCTGTGTGTGACCTGAAAGACTCACACTGGCTGCTGACACCCACTCAAGGAGCTGATGCTCCGAAGACACACCCTCAAGGGGGATTGAGGTTTTCTTTTGTATTTGAAATTTCTCCATAAGTGTTTTTCTCTATTTGTCTCCAGGGCTCAGACAGAAATAGGATTTAGTACAGTGTTTTCATAAGGAGACTTTAGACAAATCTTTTAGTAGGAAAACTATTTCTCTGTTACAGCCTAAATGTAGATGTGTATTATCAAAGTGAAGTAGTGTGTGTGTGTGTGTGTGTGTGTGTGTGTGTGTGTGTGTAAAGTTAAATCTCAGCTGAGCTTGGTGGCTGACACCTTTTATCCCAGTTCTTGGGAAGCAGAGGTAGGCATCTGAGACTTGAAGGCTAGCCTAGACTACATAGCAAGTTTCAGGCTGGCCAGGGCTACATAATATGGCTTCAGTAGTTCATAGACAGCTGTGGAGAAGCTTTTTTCTCCCTCCCAGGCTATTTCTGTGCAGTAGTCATTTTCACAGATGACAGAGAATACTTTGACAATGAGCTTATGAAAGACCACCCCACCCCCACCAGGTTAGCTGAGATAAATGTTAATCCTGCTACAGAGAAGTTAATTTTAACCTTTGGATGTGACTCCTAAGTTCATAGTGTTCCCCATCCTACTTTCTATGGGCTGAAGTAGGATTCACACACATACACACACCCTCTGATTGTCTCTAAGTGGTTCCCACTAAATTTGAACATATTTTAACCACAAAGCGCAACTTACAATACTTGAGAGAGCAACAGGTTATACCTCAACAGGGTCAACATGAAGAACGCTGGCATGAAATATGGCGTTCTGCTATGAAATGTCCCCGATACATGTGTAAAGACAGAAAGCCTTGGGGCTGGCACAGTGAGGGTGACACTAAGGGGAACAGAGGTTCTTGGGGACAATGCAAATGTCCTACGTTTCACTGTGATGGTTGAACACCCCGAATGTTACTGGAGACCGTGGAGTTGTGTGCCTCAACTGAGTGCGTTCTACTGCATGTGAACCGCTTCAGTAAAACTAAAGAGAAACCAAATTATTGACCATGTTTAACATGTGAATCTCTAAAAGCTTTGAAACAAAGCTGAGAAATGGAGAACACTAGATTCCTCCTTGGAAAGCACCAATTTATATCCAAGTTTTTCACTTTCTTGATCTGGCATGGGCCATACTCACATTTTCCTCAATCTAGATCCTCTCATCTACCTGCTACTGCGCACCTCTGCCACCGGCTCTACAAGCTAGAGTTAGCACGCGCACACGCACACACACACACACGCACACGCACACTTAAAATGTGTCCAGCACCCCCTGATCTATAGATTGGTACTTGTTTAACTACTGCCTACCTATGTCAGTTTAAAATTGACCTATGTGACTCATGGAGGCAGAAGAGACAGATGAGTACCCGTGCAAAGTCTTCCTTAAACCAAACAGAAAGTCCCAAATTTTTGGGGAGCAGGACAGCTCAACAAAAAGTGTTGTAATCAGTCACCCTGAGAATGAGGCAGAGTTTAACCGTCCAACCCCACAACTACCACCAACAGGGATTGAACTCATGACTTCGCATATGCTATCCACTGAGCTCCATTCCCCTCCAACCGCTTTTAGAGTTGTTAGGCATACCCCGCATACTCCTCCCACACTGCTGAAATCCCTCATCATTTAGATTTAAAAAGCCACCAGTTGCTTGGTCTGCTTGGTCTTCCTACCCAAACCGTACTCCTAGGAAAATTAAATTCCTCTATCAAACTCCTCTCAGTCTGCAATTTTGAACTAAAAAATTTCATCAGCCAATAGCGCAATTAAATGAATTACACATAAAGACATAACTAATCTATTTTTAATAGATAGCTAGAATTTGGTGGAAGGGGGGGAGAAACAAAACTGTGCGTCAAACCTTACCTGATTTCAGAAACAAGAGAAACAGAAGGATTACTTCCTTATGGTCCATGTCGGGACTGGCCGACGGCACCTGGGAAACTATGTCCCAGTCCCAGATGTTGACTTAAAGGGGAGCAAAGGCATCCACCAGCAAGATAGTCCACTGCGGTTAATGATTCTCTGAGTCCCTGCCACTGAACCCAGAAGGAGCAAACATTACCTCGAACAGGGCAGCTTGCAACATGTTTGAGTGTGGAGTCTGGGGCAGATCCTGGAAGTGATGAAAGTGACACTCCCCCACTTGACTCCTTCTCCTCCCTCTTCACCTCACCCTCAGCCGCCATGTTTCCCATTTCCTCTCATTTTTTTTTTCTCTCCTCTTCCATTCCCTGGCCTTGGGATCCAAAAAGAAAATCGTGGAAATAGCCTATGTTTGCTGAGTCCCTCCCGTATTCCAGATTCTGCCAAGCAGTTCATGCTTAGCCTCGCTTGACCTTCCTGGCAATCAATTGAACGCTGTTCCCCTTCTCAGATGAGGGGACTCAGGTACCATGTGATGTCTCAGTGCATCTATTGCCTAATATTTATGAGTTCATTTTTCGTTTTTTATGTTCTGAGTATCGGTTGGTTTTGGTGATCCCTCAGAACTATGTCAGCCCTGCTGTTGACTTGAGCAGTTTGATTAGGTTATATCATTTTTACAGAGCTGTCATGTTCCCATCACTTTCAAACTTAAGCACTACATAACCTCTTTCCAGTGTGTTTTAGTCCTCGTAGAGTGAGACTCGGCATGCCAGGCAAGAGTTGTACCATGGAGAGGCATCACTATCCTACCATGTGGTGCTGAAGTTGGTTTGAGGGCGGGAGAGATGGCTCAGTGATTAGAAGCACTTACTTGTGGTGAGAATTTTGGTTTCTTTAAAAATGCAGGATTTTATGGGGAAATGTCTTTGTTTTAATCCCCAGTGTGGGATATGGAGCTGCTTCACATTGTCCACAGCAGCTAACTGTGATTTGCCTCATGCTTTGGCAGCCGAGTGATTTTTCCAGCTGTAGATAGTTTCTCCAAGTGTGTGATGTTTGGAATTCTGGGGACGCTTGAGGGGGTATATAAATGCTGGTGCCCTGAGAGGGGGGGTGCAGTGGTTGCTGGTTACCATATTTGTGGTTGGTTGCTGTTTGTCAAGTGGTCCTGCACAAAGATACAAGTAGAAACAATTGAACATCTTGACAATGAAGATCAGACTTGCCCCAAGCCACTGAACACCCCTAATCAGCAGGAATTAGTCTAACAATATTGATGCTCCCTTTTCTCTCGAACCTTCTTTCTTCTCCAGTCTAGTGCTGGGAGGTTGGGAGGGTGGAGAAGGGTGGATGAGAAAGAAAGCAACCCACAAAGTGTAGCCAAAAATCCAACTACACTTACTGAGGATCCAAAGGACTTAGGTTCAGTGCCTAGCACCCACATCAAATAAGTCACAACTACCTGCATCTCCAGCTCCAGGGGATCTAATGCCCTCTTCCGGCCTTTGAGGACACGGGCACACACACACACATGTATACATATATGTATATGTATATATTGAAATCATCTCCCATCTCCCTTTCCTTTCATAATATTCCTTCCAACGCACATCTTTCCTCCATATGAACTCACAGTATCACAATAACACCCTCATGGCGTGAAGCAAAAGGGGTGAGATTCATTTGCAAGAGTAACTTTTTGTTTGTTTTTGTTGCTTTGAAATAGTCTCCTACTGTAGTCTGGGCTAGCCTGGAACTCACAGTGATTTTTCTGTCTCTGCTGCCCGAGTGCTAGGACTACAGGTGTGTTTCATTCTCCGGCAATCTTCTCAACTTTCATGGTACAGTCTGCACTTGTTCCTGGCTCAAGGCTAAAATGCTTTAAAACTGTTTCAGTATTTGAAAATATTAAGAAATAAATGGAGTCCTCTCTGTTAGTGTGACATAAAGACAAAAGGTAGCTACTCTATTTCCATGACTACAAAATCCTTTCTGTGACAGTTAGTGCTAGATCAGGTCCCAGGATGTCTCTGGTAGAACCTTCTACAGATACAGAATCCCATGACATTAAAACCAAGAAGAAAAGCGCGGAGAGCGAGAGGCAGGCACAGGTCATGGTGCTGTGTGCCACCCGTCCTTAATGGACAAAGGAGGTTTGTAACAGCCAGAACAGCCAGAAATCGGGCAAACTGAGGAGGCTCAGTCAACGGCAGGATCCACAAGACCTGCCCTCAATTTTATACAAGCAAGCAGAGCATTCGCATGACACATTCTCCTCAGTGGAGCTGCCTGTCGCCACCGCTGGGCAGCTCCAGGGGCCTTCCTACAGAGCAACTTTTGTGAATTCATTGGTTCCCCGAGGGTGGCTTCTGTTGGAATTGCTTTCTTTGGTCTTTTCACACCTCCCCAGGAGTACTTCACACAGAAGATGGATGGAGAACCCCTGATTGGAGAATGCTCTGATTTTCTGTCAGCCAGCTTTCTCCAATTCTCACACTCACCACTGCCCGTATCTCCCTGTTCTTCAAACTGTTGGCCCACTTTAATAAGTTAGAAGCGATTTAAAAAGTCAGTAACAAGCAGATTTTTTTTTTCCTTCAAAAAGTGCTTTGGGAAAAATAAAACCAGATTCCACTAATATATAATGGCTTCGGTTTGTCAGTGAGTGCTGCCTTCCTCCTTGTCCAATTACCATAAGAATGTTGTCAGAGCTGTATGACCACAAAGCTTTGTCTGTTTTTGTTTTTGTTTTGTTTTTTTAATGTTGGGGGACATTAAAGGTTTGAATATAAGATGTCCCCCACAGGCTCATGAGTTTAAATACTAGTCCACACCTACTGGCACTGTTTTGGGAAGTTGCAGAACCTTTTGGAAGTGGGTGTGGCTTGTGCCTGTTGTTTGCTGTGGGGTGGGGCAGGCCTTGAAAGTTAATAGGACCTCCCTACTTCTAGCCCAGCCTCTCAGCTTCCAATCAGGCTTCCCAGACATGAGCAAGCTGCCACCTACAGGAGCCTGTCCACCAAAGGGGTGTTCAGTTGAAACAAATCCTCCTCCCAAGTTGCTTCTTTAGGATATTTTGTCCAGTAAAGAGATAAATAATCATAGCATTAAAATGTGCCTGTTGTGTGTGCAACTGTTCTCCAAGGCACAACTTGGGGAGGTCCGCTGATTATCTGAACTGGGCTTGTCAAATGTTTACAGCCCCTTGTGGAAGGGCAGAGAGGGTTTTGAGACCCTCACCTCTAACCAGCTACTCCAGTCTGCTGTATGCAACTCTGTCCTAACTGCATATGGCCTTTGGGAGGGGCTAGGCTAGGGAAGAAGACTCGGGAAGGGAGGCCTCCATCTATGTGGCTGTGGGAAAGCCATCATCCTGCTGGGTGAAGGCTTCCTGGCCTTTCGGAGGAGCACCCAATGTTAGTATTTTGGAACACAACCTGTGTCAGTTACCCAGAGACCTATGACATCATCGTGTCATGGCCACACCTGGAAGGTGTGGTTACCTTCCGACTTAAAGGGCCCACCCCCGACACGTGGTCCCTCTTCTTGCCCCCTCTCTCTCTCTTACTCACTTACTTTCTCTCTCTTACTTTCCCTCCCCCTCTCTCTCTGGGGCACCCCCTCTTTCCCTTTCCCTTTCCCCCTCTCTTCCCCCACCATGTCCCGCTACCCACATCCTCCATATCCCTCCTAATAAACCTCTTGCAGAGAATATCGGTTGTCCCCCTGCCTCATCTATTTTTAATTTATAACACCCATGGCCTGTAACCCCTTACCTATGCTCGATAAGGAAGCCCAATACACCCATTTGTTTCCCAGTGTAAACTTTAGTGGGTCCATGCCTCAGTTTATTGTTGGGACCCTGAGAGGAAGAGGAGGAGGTGATAGTGCACCACCAACAAAATTCTAGAATGCACTTAATTCCACTATTATTTGTAAAGCGGGTTGCCTCCTAAAGGCCTTGGGACTCTAGTCATCTACTTGTATGACAGCCACAGCATGGCATCATGGTGCATAGAGGCTCTGCTGCTCGGTTATCAGTGTGGGTAAACACCTAGAGACATCCACACAGCGAGTCCTACTTCAGCCTCCAGAGCACAGGGTGAGCATAATGCAATGGGATGTTTTAGGTCATGCACAGAAATCTTACACTCAATTCCTAGGGGGATTCTGGCCCGTGGTTTTAAGGCAAAGTAATTCATTTTCCTCCTGAAAGAAGGACAGAAACTGAGGAGAGAGTGTAACATCCCCAACATACTATGACCAGGTCGCACACACTCTGAGACTTATGTGTGTTTACTTGGTCAGTTCGTTAAGGGCTGATCACGGACTGCATGTAAGAGTGTGTTACATTGTTCTGGGTTGTATAGAAGGTACGGTCTTTATCTGTCTCCACTTCCAACCCTGAAAGACCACTGCAGTTCTGCATCCAGCCTGCAACTGTTCTTTGAGTGAAAAATAGGATACCCAAACAAGATGGCAGGCAAACTTGTTTGTCTTAGCTTTGATTGGCTATGGGCTACAAGCAAGACCTGTGCATGTTTTCTGAAGGAGAGAATTCTCTGCTCTGGTCTCTACTCAAACTGGGATGGAATAGTCTTTACAAGGAATGTCACACACACACACACACACACACACACACACACACACACACACACACGTCAACCCAACATCACAGGAACTGGCTGTCTTTGTCAACTTGACACAAACCTAGACATACCTGGCAAGAGGGAATCCTTTCCTTTTTCTTTTTTTTTTTTTTTTTTGTCTTTGTTGGTTTTGTTGTTATTTTCTTTGTGGGGGGGGTAGCCATTGAGACATTGTCTTTCTACATATCCCTGGCTGTTCTGGAAACTACAGAAACCAAGCTGCCCTCACACTCACAAGGATCCATCTGCCTCTGCCTCCTGGGCACTGAGATTAAAGTTGTGCATCACCACACCCAGCTAGAAGAGACTCTGAACTGGAAAAGGGCCTCCCTTAGATGGTCCTGTATGCAGATCTGTGGGGGCAATTTTTTTTTTAATTAATGATTGATGAAGGTGGACTTAGCCCAGTGGATGTGGCGGCAGCCCCGGGCAGGTGATCCTAAGTTATAAAAGAAACCAGGTGGAGCAAACCATGGGAAGCAGACCAGTAGGCAGCATTCCTTCATGGCCTCTGCTTCAGTTCCTGCCTCCGG